TCTGTTTTGTCAGATCTAGGGAGGGAGGCGATCGCCTCTATCACCTCCCTCCCCATTAACTTTCAAATATACTCTTAGCTTGATTTATCATTGAGCTCCATCAAAAGCTCCCCCACCATTCGTTATCTGATTCTGAATCCACCCATATCGCACAGTATATAATTTAAATGTTTTTGAAATTCCAAACTATCCACTTATAACAGTGGTTTATCAACAGCGCGCGAGTTCCATATGTTCAACTTTTAGAAATGCGTACTCATCTATAAAAATAAACAATAAAAAACGACAATTATGCGTAAAAATTAAGAAAACCTAAAACAAACCGAATTTGATTTGTTAAAAATGTACGTTTCTACACCCTACATATCGATTTTAGTGGTTTTAAAAATGTGCGTATAATTTACTAATAAAAGCGAATTTGTTTCCCATAAGATCGAAATATGAGAAATGTTGTACTTTTTTTTTTTTCTTTTTATACCTTCTGTAGCTTCTTACAAGGACATATAATATAATACATAACACATAATATTATATACGTACATTTGCATCTCACGAAAGTACGATACATTACGAAACAAGTTTGCGAGTTGTATTTCCAAAACGTAAGACGCGCAAAAGCCATAAAAAAAAAAACCCTCATCCCGACCTAATATAATTATCACATCGTAATTAATATGTACGTCTATGTCGTCCATAACCGCATTATTGCCTGTTGAATTGCATGCCCGCAGTCCGATTATATTATTATTGTTGTACATGCCTTATTTCTATACACAGTATTTCTTTACGCGGTTTCTGAGATTCTAAGCGACGCGACGACTGTATAAGTTCTGTATGTTCATGTGTGCGTGTGTTTATGTTGTTTTCTGGCTATAACAGACAGTGTATAAAGCGACTTTTCGATTCGGAGACATCCCGTCTTGTTCAAATCGTCGGCGTTGACAGCGGCGGTTTACGATTGTAATTTTTTTTTTCTGTATTCGCGCGACCGCCGAGACAATTGTTTTTTTTTTTTTTTCTGTTGACGGAAAATCTGGGGGAGGGGAAATGTCGGTGGTATTCACTCGAACAGTTTTATTTTTGGAGTCCTGGTACTGAAAACCGTTCTACGTTTGTTTTTTCCCTAATCGTGTTTCAGGACGTTTATTCCTCGGTTTATAAAACGAGTTTGTATATTGATAAAAAAAAAAAAACAAAACAAAAAAACAAAAAAAGTGCACCGTTTTCGTTTCATCGCGATTATATTAGATAAATAGACAATGTTATAACTATACCGCACATAATGCAATTCTCGTGTACTCAACGTATTATTTATGTTTATAACGTTTTTATTATTGTTATAATTTTTTTTTTTTTTTTTTTAAATATGGGTTTTTGTTTCAAAAGTGTAGGTATAATTTTCCTCTTTTATTCTGTAAAAACGTTCCGCACTCTGCTTGTATTACAATACGACAATAAAAACGTTTTCGTAATGTATACATGAACATAATATATTATAAGTGTTATTGTCGACGGTTTTTATTGTATCGACAAATTATACCGCTGCGGGTTATCGGCGCGCACATTATATAATTGTTATCAGTGAAAATATTATATTTCGTAAAATAACATTTTAATTCGATAATTATGTTGTTAGATTCCGAGCGCGCAGAAAATTTGTATTGGTTTTAATACGACGTGTGTTGTGTGTGAGCATCCGACATTTTGCTCCGATCGAAAAATTTATAGAAACACTCTCGTAGTGTTTTTTTTTTTTTTTTTTTGCATCTAGTCGATACACCGACGTCATTTTTTGATTTCCCTTTTATAGTTTTCCAATTATGTTTGTTATGGTTTTTATTGATTTCCGCGTTACCTCGGTAACAATAACGGAAAAAATATGACCAATTACACTCTACTTAGAATTGTCTTTTATTAGCAACGTTAATACCGATTCGTACAGATAAACCGATTGAGTTACTCTACATTTCCACTTTGCTTCTAGAACGGCGGCGACAATTTGTACGTGCCTATATGCAGCGGTGGATTCAAATGGATAGGGGCGAAAGGACCCCCCCCCCTTTTACAGTTATATTATATTTGTATTTGTAATAATATGAGTTAATAACGATTATAAATAGTCGTTCAAATTGCGGTTAAACCAGTTATTGCGATAGCCTATGATGTCGATCATCTCATCTGTATTTTATATTTAGTGCCGTGCGTTATTCAAAATTAATATGAAAAATCCCTCACACACTATAAAAAAAAAAAAAAAAAAACAAATCTTACGTTCGCCACTGCATATATAATTCATACTAAACACTGCTGCGCCGTTTAGACGACATGGTTTATTACGCTAACACGATTATGTTTAATATATGTCTATATCATACAGGCTCTATATAATATATAGGTAAATATTTAAAAATTCATTATTTATTTTGTAATTCTCACCACTACCTCGCTGCACACAACGCACAGATTCAACGTATTACAATATGCACGTACACAACGCATCGTAGCCGAGTGTCCGTCGCGTAGTCTGACCTAAAAAATGTTAAAATTAATAAATAATTTAGTTCGTGGTGTCCGAAAATTGCTACTTTTGTACCCAAACACACGCGCACACGCTTAATTGCGTTCTAGACCGCATTTTATCCAACCGAAAATGCACTGTGAAAAGTTTCTCGGACGCGGAATTCGGAAAACCGAAGTTCCGCCGGGTAAAACTACCCGACGTAATTAAATTATTACGAGATGTTTTATTGTAGTCGTATGTTATGCACACGCTCGATAAGGTTTGCGGTAACGTAAAATATTTCAATATCTTAAATTTAAACGCGATAGTTTCCCGACACGGACTGTGAAGCATAATATTTTAGTTTTACGCGGTTACGACGGGATATTTACACAATAACAATACGACGGCACGCTCAAACGTTCGGGAGAAAAACCGCCCGCGAGCAACGGAGCTCTGCCGAGCAAAGAGTAGAATTTCCTCCCTGCTCTTACCCCCCCGCCATTATTTCACTGTAGAAATATCTTTTAAAAACAACGAATAACCGAATACTTCCTTTGGGGGGGGGGAGGGAAATAGATGTCGAGTGATAAAACGGAAACCGAGCTGACAAAATTGAGCTCACGCGTGTACAAATATATTGACTAAGCAATAGACGCAGGTCTTTTCGTTTTTTTTTTTCAGAAACGGTTTTCGCGGAAACCGACAGAATCCGATCCGTACCGCGGGTTTTCCTCGGCGCTGACGACGACGGCGGATTTTCCGGAGACGATCTCGTTCGCCGTCGTCCGGTCGACGGAACAACGTAATCGCGGTCGTCGTGCACCGACGCCAAGGTCTCGGCGGTTGGGCTAGGTCGGCCGCGTATGAATAACTCCACGAGGACCGCGCGCGCAATAACAACACAATTTTATCAACTCCTCCTTCTGCTCCTCGTCCTCCGTCCGTGTACCGCGGTTGCTGGTTCGCGCGCACGTGGGTAACCGCCGTTACCGGACGCCGGGGCCGCCGCCGCCGTCAGCTGTTGCCGCCGAGCGCGCCGACCGCACGACGCGTTTACTCTCGCGCGCAGTCTGATTCGCACGCGGCACTCGACCGGTAGGTCCGCATTTTTGTATTATTATCATTATTATTATTATATTTCTTTTTTTATTTCCTCCCCTCCTCCCGGCTACCGACCAAAAAATATTAATTACCTACGACGACGACGACAAACTCGCAAAAAACCGACTCTCCGACATGACGAGTGCTGCACCACGCACCGTCGTCATTCGGACCGCAGGTCCTTAGGCCCGGATCCGGCCGAGTGTCTCCATACACGCCGTCCGTAACTACGTCTGTATACCGATTTACTATAAATCGACCGATATCCGCGACCCGAGTGAAAATCGAGATTTTCAAAACGTTATTCCGCACACGACCGCAATAATTCCGGTGTTTTATTTATTGTCCGTCGTCTTCGATCCGCGACGAGTGATCTCCTCGTCGCCCGTCGATTCCGAATTCGACACACACGTCCGCCAACACACTAGGGCCGTAAGTATACCTAATATATTCGACATATGATTTCACTAATGGGTACAGAGAAAAAAAACCATGAAAAGTCACTTTTTTACCAAAATGGCGATAATGGTATCTAGATTTGTATTGATGTACCGATAAAACCAGATAAGTCAAAAGTAACAAGCGCCAGAAGTTTAAGCCTACAAAAAAAAAGAAAAAGAACAATTAAGTCAACTGATAACCGGACAAGCGTTGGGTTACTACACGGCTATAGCCGTGGTTAATAATATACTATGGCATTGTTGTGCTGCGGTTATTAAATTTTAATGTTTAAATATTTAATTTAATCCGAACTTTTTCTTTTGAAAAAAAAAAATTGTTACGTTTTGTAAATAAAAACAAGTTTTTCTCAGATTAAAACAAAAGTGACTTTAATGGGTTTTTACCTTTAACCTTCAAATATACGTGGTTATACGTCAAAAAAAGTTTTTTTTTTTTTAAATATTCGGTATTATTTGCGGAAATCGCGTTCAAAATAAACTCGTAGACCGGAATTCGTTTCCAGAGGAATAAAACGTCCAGTTTTTATTTACGCAATTATAACATTTGTAACTGCTAGTATATTATATAAATGTATCAAAGTTAAAATGGGTTTACTTTTGTAGTGGTTCGGCACCCCGCATAGATTTCCAGAAAGACATCACAGAATTAATTTTAGGTTATTAAAAGTCACGGCCGTTTCAATAATCCTTTAACCGCACGGAGCAATAATTAAAAATCGTCTTATCACTAATTCCCAAGCATATTTAATGGAAGTTAGTATTTTTATTTTTTTTAAACAGTTGAAATTCCGATTATTTTCTACGGCAAAGTTCACGTCAAAAAACTTTTAACCAAAGCTTAGCGGTTTACAGATCACTATTTTATCATTTAAGTAATATTTAAGTAGCTGCGGGTAAGGTCATATTTGTTTTTTTTTCGAATAGTTCTGAAAATGTCGATAAAAACCCGTTTTGATAAACTTCTGATTAAGCACTGGTGAACAAACCTATTGAGAAAACGGTATTATCCCGGTAAGCCTGTAATTGATTTAAAAACCTTGCTTCTTAGTCTCAAGACCTTATTTAGGTTAGAATTTGTTTGGAGGTGTTTCGTAATTACAAATAACGGGGAGCTAAGCTCCTCTAAAAAAACTAAAGATTTATTAAATCCTAAAGCTGTTTATATATTTCGCATAATATTTTGGTATACGTTATGAACTATTTGTACCTATTTTGACATTAAAAATGAGTTATAGGTTTTTTTTGTTTATGGTCATCACATTTTTCGTAAGCACTCCAATATAATTGTGTTTACAAAGTGCTCCTTAACTTCAATCCCTAGTAACAAAAAAGCCCTACCCACAAATGTCCTGTTTTTTGACAAGAAACTGTTTTTTGTTTCATTTTACATTTTGTTTCTTATGGCGCAAATCGTTTTTTGATAGCTTAATAATTCGGAAACACCAGAAGAAAACAAAGTTGTTGTAATTAAATTAAACATATTTATAGTGACTTAAAAAATGGACAGGATGCTTAAATTTCATAATAAAATTTAAACGAAAATAGCGAGAAAAAAAGACTACACTAAATTATGTATTATCGAACTATGCTTAGAATCGTCTTTAATCAGCAATGGTTTATCGTTGCTTATAGATATAAATTAAATAACCTTATGTATCCTACTTTCCTATCTTCTTACCTACAACAGTGGCTGCATCCCAATATCGGCTCATTTTCAATTTTTTTTAACATTTACAATTGCCTCATTAATACATTCGATTTCGACATATTTTTTGGAAAGATGACAACTTCCTACAGGGTACATTTGACTTCAATTTTTAATTATAAGAGCTGATACTGTTAATAGGTACGCCGCTGTTGTTATTCAATAACAATTTATATCTGTAAATAACGATAAACCATTTATTTTACTATTTTCGTCAAAACGCCTTTATAAAAAAAAAAAATGTTTGAAAAAAAAATTCTACATTACTCAACTATTATTTTTCAACCACTAAGTATAATGTATAAGAAACCTCATGTTAAATGTTCAAGCATTTCTGTTTAATTAGTAAAATTAACTGCAACATGCCGTAAATATGGGTTCGTTTTCCTATTATCTTTTCTAGATTTTTCCAATCATTATGAAAATCACGTGGAAAATCAAAAAAATACTTTTTTAATGTTTCACCCCGACCTGAACAAAAAAGATCTTCTGGCATTTGTTGATTGCAGCAACATTTCTGGTGGAAAAGTTGTTTATAAACGGAAAAAATACACATTACGGTAAAACAAGTACATTTCTCGCTTAGCTCAGAATCTAAAAATAATCAAACAATTTATCATAATCAACTTATTACTTTATCAATTTATCAAACTCTTTTAATAATTTTAGAAAATACATTTTTTAGAATCCAAATCCAATATGCCATGCCAAAAATCTTCATCTTACCGAATTGAAATTGAACCACACTATAGAGCGTTGCTAGAGAGTTAACCCAGTAAAGTATTTATTTGGGCAAAAAAAGCAGGTCGTCCGGAATCTTCTTAAAATACGGGTTTATAGCAAGCGTTATTTAAATTCGAAATTATTTTTCATCGGTAAACCGATTGAATGGCTTTTACTAATCAGATAACCTATTGAGTAGTGTTATAAACTGTATAAATTACAAAAAAAGTTTTCGAGAACTCGTGAAAGTCACGAATGTAATATTAAAATGTCAAGTTTTACAATAACCTATAAATAAATAAACAAAAAAATAGCTACTTATACTATGATGGCTATAGTTACGAAAACACATTAAAACGATAAAATATCTAGTACATCCAATTCCGTTCATCTGGTGCAGCCGGTGCAGTGAACCGCCCATTCAAAACGAATAAACTTATCATTTCCTAGGCTTTAAACGGTGAATCGCATATACTTTAGCTATTATAAGACCATGGCTTTAATATACATTAACTTTGAATAATCTCAAAAGTAGATATATCATTTCCTTTAGAAACTACGAAAAGATCTTAAATATTATGTTGACTTCAGTGACTTAAACCCCATTACTTATATACAAAAAAAATACAAACATATTTCACATGATGGGTGGACCACTATTGTTGGTAAGAACTTCGGAAGGTAAGATAAAGAGAATCAATTATATATCCTTACACAACGAGCAATCATTGCTAACGAAATATGTTAGCGAGCGGATTTGGTAACATGTTTTAAAAGGTCTTAATATTTACGATCTTAAAATAACACATTTTACCAAAACTAATACCAACTAGATAGAGTTCCTTTTCAGAAAAAGTGCTAAACTTGATACACTGGAGTGAGATTTTTGGTATAACTGTGCATCATAAAAAAAAAAGAAAAATTATCATTGTAAAACCAATACATCGCGTGCTTTGCTCAAAAATCTAAAATAAACGAATTTGAAATCGTTTTTATATTTTTATTTCATTTAATATTTCGGTTATATTCAAATTATACACGAAATAGTTATTTTATTATTCGTACACGAACAATAACTCAAAACGTAAATTATTCCTTATATCACAACACAAAATAACGTATGTTGCTTGGGATTAATATTAGAATAACGATAGAGATGATATTGTTATGTATTTTGCATAATTTCAAAACTTAATGCATAATATCTTAAATAATTATGACGAAATTTCGTGATATGAGCTGACACGTATTCCAAATGAATTAAATTCGTATCTGGAATACGAAGTTCCTTATAATCCTAATTTATTTACAATACTATATCTAATTCTTACACTAGTGAAACATAATTACTGAATCTACGTTTTAACGTTTGTTAATATTTAATTCACACATAACGACATCTTAAAAAATGATTTCTACATACATCTATTTTCGTCAAGGTCATTTCCTATTTTACTAATGGATATTTTAACATAATCTTTATACTAATACATTTATATTAAAGAATATATTCAAAAAAAATCATTGGTATTGTCGGAATGAAGTTTACATGTATTTTTTTATTAGACACTGTACGTCATTATCTAGATTATTAATTATCGTAATACCCATACAATTAAGAGAGCTTCTAGTTACGCCCGAATTTGACACTAAGGGTTACTTAGTTAACCGTCTGCTATGTAGTTATCTATCAGTCTATATGAAATGGTTTTTTTTTTTTTTTTTTTACATTAAAATTAATCAAATAAATAGAAAATAATATGAGTAATCATAATGATATATTATACTCGATCAACTGTATATATAGTTTACGTCGAGATGATCAACAAATAGTAAACGGTTGTCCGAACATCATTATCCTACAGGTACTCGATCATCGTATAAATGTAGAAACTCTATATTATATGTATTGCTGTTGACAGTAAATTGGATCTCGTGTCTCGACTGGTAGGAAATCATTTTTATTATTTTTCTTATAATAATATCGTTAAATGCGTATTTCTCGGACAAACTATAATCGTCCCGACCATCATCTGCAAACAGAAGTTCAGCGAAATTATTGATAAAATGTTATAATTCAATAAGCTATTTAAAAAAAACCGCAAATTGCGTCATGTAATATTTAAATTATTGATAAATAACTGGAAAGAAAAAAATGTCGCGATAAAGAAACGAAGACGTCGAGATAAGGCATTTGATTTAATAATTTTATTTGTATTCAAATAATTCGACAATCGCCCGTGATAACTGCTGCGGCGAATTGCGAAGGTTGCAGATTTTCATCTCGAACAAAATCGGTCGATTGATGGTCGGCTACGTAAAGCCAGTTACACACTAGGCGTTTTAATCGTTTGGTAATCGTTTTAATCTTTCCGCCAAAAGTATTATCTTCTTTTCTTTTTTTTTTTTGCAACCCATTTTTCTCCGTGCTAATTTTTCAGATTAGCGAGAATCATTCGTGCCAATAACGTGTTATCATACGCCGTAAGTAAGCGTAAGCAATTGTAGCCAATGTAATAAATAAATAATAGTTAATACATAACATATGCTCGTAAATATAAAAAATTCAATAATTAAGATCTTCAGTCCAACTTCGTTTTCCATACTTGAATTCGCGGCATTAATAACAAACATACACCATCGAATGAAGTTCATTAACGGGTTTAGCCAACACACCGTTACTTTATATTCACTAAGTGACAACATTAAAATTGTATTATAAATTTATAAACATTTTTGAGACCAAGATGATAAAAAAAATAATTATGGAATGATAAAGAAAATAATGGGATGCGTTCGTTATTGTTCTGAAAGCCTCATATACACCCAGATGAGATTTTATTTTTTAAGTATTATAAAACGATAAGTCTCAACTAAAGTATCATAGAATGACATGTCTCAAAATTCGAAGAGCATGTAAACAAATATAATAGCATTATGACCCCGACTAGGTTGTAATGCGAACGAAAATTATAACGTAATAATTTATTAGACAGTAACAATGTAACCATAATAATTAGGACCTGGATTCGTTTGCAAATACATATTCTTTTACGATTCACCTAGAATATTTTTGATTAAAAATGCCGACGTTTTAAAAAAGTGCGGATCCTATAGTCGATTTTTTATTTTGCTTTATTTTGCATATTTAAGTGAAAATGAATATAAATTGCATATTTCTAAACATTTGCATATTAGTTGCATATTTTATAAATGGTAAATACAATTTATTTTTAAATTTCGCTCAGAAGCAATTTTGTAAAAGCTATTTTAAGCTCTAATTTTTTTGTCATCAGATAACTTCAGATAACCGTCGGGGCGGTGCAATAACATCAATACTGTTAGCATGTAATAGAAAGTGTCGGGGGATCTACAGTTTATCGCCTATCGGATGACTACTGAACTTTTAGGTTTTTTTTTCAGTGACCTATTCTCGTTGATGTAATCTATAATAATCATAAAAAATAACCTCGGTGAATAAATCGTGAGTTTGCACGGGTCTATTAGAAATAGGTTGTTTTAATTGGAGGAGTATCAGGATCAGGAGAATCTAAACCAAAAACTGTTCAGTTAAAAACGACTGGAACATTACTTATAGCATTATTAAAAACTCGGATACGAATTTTTTCTTAGGAACATATAGTTTTAGGTAAGTTTAAGGAATTTAATTTCCTAAAATTATACATTAATATAGGAGGGGATATGGAAGTCATGAGTGTAATTATGGGATAACCAGGGACAGTTTACCACGACAAATTGTATGGAGCGGCGAGTTGAAACTTTTGCAAGGTGTCCCAAATGGTTTGAATAAAAAAAAAGTAAAAAATCGACTAAAACAAAAAACAACGGAGTTTTAAAATATTCTAAATCTACTTCTATTGCATTTTTTAAACATTAAAAAAAAAAAAAAAAAAACAATTTCAATACCTATTTAATGTTATATAAAAAGTCCTTGGGCGGTTTTTTTTTTTACAATTTTACTCTCGTTTTTTGTTTATTAATTTAAATATAAACGCGCGTAATAACAATGTTTGGTGCTACGATATAATAATACTTACACACCGTCTTGGGATTATCTCGATAAATCGTGTCTAAAATATAATCTGTAAAACAACGCAGCATACACTTTATCTCTTTCCAGTAAATACTTAAATAATATAAACTAAGTATATTGTTATGTCTACAATGATTCCTCAATTTGTTTTTATTTTTATAGCTTCTGAGCATGGCGAAGAATATAGGTATTGATTTTACAATGATTTATGTTCATTCTTTTTTTTTTTTTTGTCTTTGAACAACTTTCAAACTGAACAATAAACACAGATTTTTTGTGCATTTTGGTGCAATCAAAAAGTCATATTTTGATTTTCCGCGAGCAGTTTTCATGGAATTGTATAAAACCGGAGAAAAAGTAGGAAAATCGGGAAAACTTACGGAAATAACAGTTTCATTTTCATTTTTTTTCAATTTTATTTTATTTAATTTTTTTTTTTTTGGAAATACATTAATCATATACCTTATTAACCTAACATTTTCACAAAATAATTATATTAGACATTTCAAACAACTTGACATTTTTTAGTTTTTTATTCGATTTTGTGCGAATAGAATTATTTGAACGTAATGCATTATTTAGTTTTTTTTTTTTTTATAATTCATTAAGTTAAAATTTTTACGAAATAGTAAAAATTACAGCATTTCAAAACATTTAGAACTTCGCTCAGAATCGTATTTCGTTAGCAATAATTTATCGTTGCGTGCAGTTATAAAATTTAATATATATTTATGTATCCTAATATTCATATACGTGTCTAAAATCCGAATTGCCAATCGCCGCGCCGTCTTGAAATAATATTTTTACGAATTATATTGAATCCTCGCTTAGATCCGCATATTATGACTGAAAATTGTCTTTTATCTTTATCTAATTAAAATCATTCGGCGTTGTTATCATCCTTGTCTTTTATCTGTGTATAAATACACTTATTGATTATTTGATTAATTACTTTTGTGTTGCTAGGTGAATAAATTGTCACGGCTTCGGGTCTGACTCGATTATGCAATTATGTATACACACTCCACTCGGTAATATCTGTCGGTCATATTAATTTTTTTTTTTTTTTTAGTAATCGCCACGGGGCGATTTCGAATGCCGAATACCTGTAATTAACAATTTTAAAAAATATAATATATTATTGTATGTATATTGTAAAAGTTAAATATTTTTAATGACTCAATCAGTGATAGATATTTATTACCTTATTATCATTTCTACCTATACTTGTTTTTCCCTGTAAATCGCGTGTAGCAGACGTTATGAAATATTTTACGTTCCCCTTGTAAGATTCGTTTTCATTAATAATGTTTACCGATTATTTTCGGCACCAAGATTAAGTGCAAGACACCGGACACACAATGAAATCATCTGCACCGATCGTAGTTTCTTTCTTTTTTTTTTTTATTCATTAATCCGTTATACATTTTTTCAAGGTTTTATATTATGTTAAACAATCGTTTCGCGTTCGTCTTAGCTACGGTTACAAATTAAACTATTAAAAATTGGCGATTTCATAACATACATGTGATTTCCAGACATTCTTACGATATTAAATGCAAAAATAATTAATCGGTTTTTTTGTTTTTATAGTTGAGACTTCCAAAAAAAAAAAAAAAAAGTCGTAAAATAAATTACTAAATAAATACTTATCAAAATTTGGGAGTCGTTTTTGTTTCATTCCACCGTCGTGCGTATATGTACCAGCTATCGTCCGTGGTGGCATTTTTTTTTTTTTAAAAAGGAGGGTAATAATTTCACGCATATAATTCCGTGGTACTCGTATTTTGAAGACATCTCACGGTCATCTCGATCGTATAACCTAATTTTACGGGAGATTGTTAAAATGAGAGAACACCGCAGTGGCAAAAAAAAAAAAAAAACAACAACAGGATAATGAAAATACGAATATTTAACATAATTTTATTTGGAGATTCCATATAAAACGCGCATATAAATGTAAATTATAAATAATAATAATAATAAAAAAACGTCATTTATATATATATATATATATAGATATATATATATAGGAAACGGATGTAAATAATTGTGGAATGACCACAACAAATACACCTTACTCAATATCTAGTGGGTATACGAGTTCCAAAAATAAATAAAAAGTTATGAAAAGAATAATAATTTCATCATTAAATAATATTTTAAGCATGAAAAAAAAAAATGACAAGGCTGGACATTATTTGGGATTGCGTGTAACCGGGCCAAGAGATCGATAGTTAGATAAACGGTAGTTTAGCCATCTGCAGGTTAATAGATCCACAATCGTCTAAAACCGGAGGAGGCGACGATCTATCATTGCACCCCAAAGCTTCAGGGCATTATGTATTTATAACGATGATATAAAAAGTAAAAGCTCAAGTCAATATCGACTTAATTTATTTTAAGCTATTATTTTTTTTTTATCAAATAACCTTATTTGTTTTAAATTTACTTGATAATTATAACGAGTTAGTTTTGAACTATACGACGATCAAGTTAATTTCATTTTCATTCAATTCAACGTGTGTGTAATTTCTAATTTAAAACAAGTATAACCACCCCGGCAGCAAAATCCATATGGTAGCGCCATTTTCAACCTAATTGGAAGTTCAATGTGCAATTTTTTTGTTAAATCAAAAATATTATGCATTTTATCGTTTTTACTATGACACCGATAATTTAATATAAACAAATAAGAAAAATAAAATAAAAATAACCTACAATTGACTCGCCTTAAATCGATATAATAAGTAAATTAAATTTTTTAATTGACATACCGCTTAACACTTATAGTTATTAAATAAAACAATAATAAAAGTGCTAACTCATTAGATTTTTTCTTTTCAACTAACCCAGTGGCGAGTTTACGGTAGAGCTTAAGAAGATGTATCTCCCGTCTCAACCTATTTTTATTATCTGTAATTTATACGTCAACTTATTTTTAAATTCAAATTTCTTTACTTTGTAATCAGAAAAATCAACGATTCTACGTGTTGGAACCTACGGTTCCAATGGAATGCATTCCAATAGAATCACTATACAATACAAATGCCGGTTCAATCAGTACATAAATAGTGAAAAAATTAATAAAAATTACTTAGCTGTATGACTGTACGTTATTTTGATTTCAATAATAATTTTAGAGCAGACAAAACTAAAAAATGTACAGTTTTCGTTATCAGCCCGGGTACGCGTTACACAATACGGCACGATTTTCCAGTTCAATAACTCCCCATTTGACGAAATTCTAAATACTCCACTGAATTGACATAATAACCATTAACCGAGTTAGTGTAACATGTTATTCACATTGACTTGCTCGGCAGTCTTGCAAAACGATAAGTATGTAAACAATATTATAGTATCTGCTCGCGATAAAAGATAATATCACTGCATTAAATTATACCGTTTGGATATACACACTGCGGCGCGGATAAACGGCCGGCAACGAAACGCGTAAAAAAAAAACAAATGCAATAAATGGCGCGGTACAGAAATATTATACAACGAATGAATACTCTATTTACATAATCGTATAAAAAAAAAAAAAATATCGCAATGTTATTATAAAAAATAATAACGGTAACAGTAGTATAAGGGTGTGTGCTGTTTTCACGAATAGAAACGGGGTAGAAATGTCCGTTTTCGCCGCGGAAGATAAAAAAAAAAACTACACGACGTTTCCATCATGCGCGCGCCGGAAATGAATTATTCATGAATTCGATTTAGAATAATATTGCGCGGTGCTCGGCTCGGACTCGTATGCGAACCTGTGCGTTTTGTGTATCGCGTCCACTCGGACCGCGGCTGAATTATTGTTTAAGCTATCTAAGCTAAGGTTTCCCTCGCGCGTCTCGCGGGTGCTCGTGGTCCACGTTGCGGGCGTCGCGTTCCCGGGCGCGCGACGTACGCCGGGCGCGCGACGTACGCCGGGCGTCCGAACCGGACGGCGGTCGAAACCGTTTTGGTTTTACTGCGCGGGCGTGTGGCGTTTCGTTTGGGGGAAAAAAAAAAAAACGAAAAGCCATCCGGTGTTTCGTTTCGCCGTTGCGACGTTACGGGCGCGCGGTCGGTTCCGCGGCCATTCGTTCGGCGGGCCGCGTCAACCCGGCACGGAAACCCGGGTGAGCGAGCGTAATTGGAACGCGCGCGGCGGTCGACGGCCGCGCGACGAGAACGGACGGCGGGCGCGCGGCGGTAAAAGTGGTTTTCGCGCGCGTCGCGGGCCGCGGGCCGCCGGCGAGGGGACCGAAACGGCGTGAGGCGGACGAGCGCGTGCGAAAACCGGCGGAAAAAAAAACCGGCCAGTTCAATTTATATTTGTAACAACGGTTCGCGGTCACGTTTCGCGCGCGGCGAAACCGCGTTTCGACAACCGGGTCTCCGGAATATTCGCGCGCGCGCGCGCGCGTCCTACGATACCGTTCGCGAAGTCGCGCGAAATACGTTTGGGTTGCGCGGTTTAACCGGAGATAGTCGGGATCGAGTCCGCGCGGACGACAATGATGACGGTACCACCGCGACAGTTCTCCGCTGCGCGGTCCCCGTAACGTTTTTTTTTTTTAACTCAGAGGCGCCGGCCGATTGACCGCGTTCAAAAGTCCTTAACAAATACCGGTGTGATTTAAGCGACGCGGCGTTAATAACAACGATTCCTCGTCGACCGTCCGCGCCGCCCGTCACGTCAGAGTCTGTATACAGCACCCGTGTAAAATTCAAAACCGGTCCAACGGAATTCGCGTTTTAGATTGAGAAAAATAAAAATCAATTATGTTTGTTGTAATTGTCCGTGTTCGGCTCCGAAAGTGTAAAACTATTGAAATACTAACCGTCGCCCGTTTTCAGTGTAGTTCGACAACAACAAAACGATCGGCTAGATTGCCTGCCGATTTGTGATCAAAACCAATAACTGATATTCAGTTTTACCATTAAAACTTTCTACACTAACCTATGTTTTCGGGCCAACTTAAAGTAAAGAATTAATTTTTGTGCGTGCGGTTTTTTTTTTTTTTTTATCTTTGTCAATTATACAACTCTGGGGTAACGTACCTGCTGTATTATAATATTTTATTGCATCCTAAGCGGATTGTAAAAAAAAAAAAGATTTCTTTTTTTCTTCTTGAAATACAGACAATAAATTATTGCAGCATTTTACAACAAAGTCTATTTAAAAATGATTTGAAATACCGTGTTTTCGTAAGATTTCCGGCCAAATTTGAACTTAAAAAAAAAAAAAAAATAAAAAAAAAATGAATGACACTATCGATGAAGATGCAATCGTTTTTACGAGAAATTTGCATGAAAGGATATACAGAGTAATTCAATTTATATCTGTACTCAACGAAAAACCATTGCTACCGAAAACCGATTCTGATCAGTTCACGTGGTAGTATTGTTATCATGGTGACAGAAACATCAACAAAAATGTTTACAAAAAATGACCAGGTTTTCCAATTCATTGAGAAAACTACAAGGGATATTATAAAATTACCTCAAAAAATGCCAAGAAGTTAAAAACAATTCTACAAGAAAGTTCTATAAAGTTTTTGGTTAGATCGAGATTTGTTATACGTACCGAAAGTTATTTACAGATAAAAAAAAACGTATCATATCAAAAATAATATATTTCTCGATTTCCATTAGATTCTAAAACTGCTGCATTGTGCTAATTTTCGACGGCTTAGTTCAAATTTATATTTTATTACAGATTATTTTCAGTTTTCATAATAAAAATAAAAAATTTTTAGGTGATAATTGTTTAGAGTGATACAAGTTTTTCTACCAGAAATTTTGCAAAAAATTCCAAAATTAACCTAATTTATAAAAATAACTGTATAAACCTAAAATTTTCACAGAAAACACGGTAAAATGTTCAAAACATTCTAGAGATCTGTGAGCTATTTATAGGCATTTTATATTTTTTAATTGTTTTTAGTTTTAATTTGGTACCTTTGTGGGACGTGGGTAAAGTTGTTTGACCAAACAGAAATGCTTAAACATTTAATACGAGATTCATTATGAATATTGTAATGAGCGGTAAAATAAAAACAAGTTGGGCATAATGTATTGTATTTTTACTTAAGCGTTTTAATTTTTTTTTCTGTAACGAGCAAAAGTTTTAGAAATTTTTCAAACCTGCAGGGTATGTGAGAAATGATCAAAACTGTTTCCCCTGAAGTAACTGGTAGGAAATCTAGAAAGTTATTGCGCGAAACTTTTCAAACAAGTATTTGTTGCCCCGAACAAAAAAAAAACTCCGCTTAACAAAGCATATCTCACTCCACCAAATTAATTGAATTCGTTAAACATATTTCCCGCGCAATTATTGACGTTCTCATTCTACTACAATTCACTGAAATATTGCCATAAAAATTCTATCGTCATGAGGAAAAAAACAATGATTCATATTTTTATTTTAACCGACTATTTATTTATATTTTGCTGGTTAACTATAATATTAATCGAATTCGTTTACAACTATATTTAAAAATGATTTCACTCGTTCGTTAAAACCGTGTAGCGATAAAACGTTATTCAACCGTTAGAATTTGTCGATTTGTATATTATTATAGTTGAGTTAGGTTAGGAACGTTGTGTTTTGATTGGCATAAACATATATTTATACTATACAAACGACTTGGACAAAAAAAAAAAAAAATGGTCTATTTATAATATCACAGCGATTACCGGGTGATCCATTTGTTATTGTCATTGTTTCGAAAAGTATTAACTTTTGACAATAACATAATTGTCAGTTGACTATTTAAGATGAAAAAAAATATCAAGCTTTAAAATATTATATTAGCATATTTTCTAGGGATATGGGGTAAAACGGTAATCTACTTTTGACTTTCAAATGGAAACCTATAATATCTATTATATCATAATGGTTTCAAAAATAAAGTTAGTACTTAGTTAATGAGTTTATACTCGTGATGACGATGGTTAGATTCTCAGTGTCTTTTTTCGATGGTTTATCGCAAAAACCACACGAGAAGATTGTATATAGAAACGCACGATCAAAAGGATTCATTTTATAACAGTGTGTAGTGGCCGTTTTTTTACTCTATTGAACACGTATGTGTATACCACGTAGATAAAACATTTTTTTTCGTGCGCGAAAGCATATATTTACTATAGGTGTATAGCTGTTTATATATTTTATCTATACATTATCATATTTAACAGATTGATATGTTTTATCTACGCAAAATCGGTTCATTAATGAAAAACGACTTCCGTGCGTTATTTTTATGTATTTGTTTTTCTCCTCAAAAATAATTTTAAATATTTAACTGTATAATTTTTTTGTTCTTTCGCGCAATCGTTTTCCGGTGAATCGTAAGATACATAGCACATGGTTATTATATTCAATTTTATGTAAAATCGACTTTGCACTTGACGCTTAGTTTGTCGATTTATTCGCGGAGGATCGTGTTGTGGCATTATTATTTCCCAAAACAATGAGTTTAGAAAATATTACTGTTCGATAGTTGCCTGTTTCAGGTGTTGTAAAAAGATAAATTTTCCAGGTCCGTTGACTAGATGAACGTAAAAGATAATATAATAATTTCATTATCTAGATGAAAAAAAAAAATGTATAATTTTATTCATCATCAATCATACGGTACACATCATATATTTATCGAAAATCCAAAAAAACTATGTGATAGGTGAATAGGTAACTCAATAGTTTATTGATTTAATCATATTGTTTAAATTAAATATTTCACCTATTATTTTTCAATAAATATATCTTTAGTACCAAAAAAGAAGTCGAATGCATAAAAAAAACTACCGGAATTATCAATTATTATGGAAAAATGATCGCAAAAAATTACATGAGAAAATTTAAAATTTAAAAAAATCAATAATTGACTAAAGCCCTTCTATTCTGGGACCAAAGAATTAGATATTAAATACTTACGGTTTAAAATATTTTATCTAAAAACGTTTATCTAGATGATTTAATTAATTATTTCGAATAACTGCTCGGATAACTTATTGCCCTGTTTGTCTAGATAAAATGAAATATAAAATCATACCAAACAAAATGTATAATTTCTAATCGGTTTTTCATCGTAACGTGACAAAACAGTAACCGCTGCCAGTACTTGATTCATGAACGATTGGCGGTGTGATTAAATGTACCTGTTTAAAAAAAGTTTTACTCATAAGTTTGTCATTCGATACGTTATAAATTTAACGGTAACCAGGAAATAAAATACTGGAAAAAACCTAAGAAGTAATTAAAGATGAGCAGATGTTTTCCGACTTAAAAATAAAACTACTTTGTTGAATTTATGATTCATTTGTCTAAATTTCCAAATTTGTGGAACGTCACTCTCCCACCTTGTGCACAATCCTATCTCCATTTATGGCATTGACGTAACGTTACATTAATTATATGCGCGAATTAAATAAATTATCAAAACATACTTTTACATAATTGAAATTATTTTCAACAATTATTAATGAATGCGGAATTGTCGTCGGAATTCGTATATCTAGCAAAAAGGAAAAATAATATGATTCTAAGCGGTGTGGAATTAATTGGATTAGTCATGTATTTTTCACGCCGTTGCCTAAGGTAACTCAGTAAAATAAAACCGGCGTATCGAAATTCGTTACAAGTTTTTCCATTTTTTAGAAAAACTATTGTGCATTTGGTCATTTTTTTTTTATTTAGATGTAAAACTGGACGTACCTTTTGAGGTACAGTGCGAATAATTTGGAGCCTTCTTAAAGCACCACTGTGCAGACATTTCACATATTTTGACGTAGTCAAACATTTATCTAACCAAAAAAGTATTTAAAAAATAAAAAAAAAAGGAATATATTTTCAAAAAGTATTATTAATTAAATTATAGTACTAAGTAGGTACACAATAATATTCCACCAAATGAAAATTCCTCATTTATTTTTTTAAATACCCTATTAAACATTGGATCAGAGACGAAAAAATGTTTTTCGTGAAAAAAACAAAATACATCATTAAATAATAACAATTTCTTCACTACGCTTTGAAACTAAAAATCGCTCTTCAAAGATGCTAACGTCGTACGTCTGACCAACAAATATAAGACTATCAGATAACGGACCAATCATAAGCGCACATTGGGTGTGAATTTAGGGCGTGCTGGAATAATTTACAGTAACATATCCGTGTCTCCCACATCCCCCTAATACTACAATGAACTTCATTACAATAATTTTAAATTTGTATACAAATATAATAAATCAAAACTTTAATTAATTATTTTTATATGTGCACAAATTAATAATTTTACATAATATATAACTACTAATTAATGTTATACAAGATTAAATTTTTTATTTTATACCGCAAATGTTCGTGTTATAATTGTTCGTGATTTCGTAAGCTATATTTACAATTGAAATAATTAATATTTTTTTCAAAGCAATAAAACATAATAATTTACAAATGATTGGTGAAATGGTAAAATTAATTATTTAGAGGATTTAAGGGTGCTAATCCAATGACTGGGGGTGCTTAGCACCCCCTATCACCCCCCTTCCTCTTTTGTGCGCCTATGGGACCAATCGCAGTCGATAATCCTGTACGTTGGTGAAAACGCTCCTAAATTAATTATCTGTATTACATTAATCTTTGCAGCTATTTGCAATAGAAACTTTTGAAAAATGATGTAATTTAATTGTTTGTTTTTCTTTCAACGACATTTGTCGTTTTCATAAAATATTTAAAATAGCCGAGCGGTAACCATCACACATATAAATATGAATCGCGTGGGTTCGAAAATCATACGTTTTTATATATTATTTAAAACGTAAAATGATTATAGGTGTATGTATTTTAAAAACGACATGTAAAAAAACCTCTTTGAACGAATCCGCATATAGGTTGCAGGCACTGACTCGGTTCAAAATCAAATTTAATCACAGCACAGTAAACAATCGCTAAACCGCGATGAAATAAAATCACATTTAGTCTCGGCGGTTTTTTTTCAATGAAAAAATCCGTCGCCCAAATAGTCGTCGGCCTAACCTATACTTGCAATAGTAGCCATAGTACCTGTGCCAAGTTATTGGAAATTCAGACGTTGGCAGACATACAAAATATATCCAAACGGTTGCATGGAAAAAAATATTACCGTCAATATAAAATAAAAATACGTTTCTGAAATCTCTGTCTCCGAACAGGTGTTTCTGAACTATTTTAGGCCAATCAGAATTTATTTATTGGTCCGTCCACACGCTCGTGGATCGAATTCCCGTAGATAATAATATACGTGTATTTCGTTCGTTTATCATTTGTCTATCTCACGAATTTAATTGTGGTTTACGTTTTGTGACAAGTGCAATATTTGTTCGGTAAAATTATAATAGACGAGTGCAAAATAAAACTATTGTTTAGAGTCCGTGAAATAAAACTGCAGTTTATCGATTCGCCGGGCCGTTTAAAATTCGGAATTCTCTGTTGAATTGAAAATTCCGCAATAAAAATGTACAAACGTATTATATGCTAGAAATAATTATATAATATTATGGGATTTAATGGTTAAAAAAATTATATGGAAAATTATAACATTTTCATAATTTTCACCAAAAAAATGTTCATGGAAATTTACATCATTATGTATACCTATATAGAATGTCATCGTCGCAATAATTAAGTTCTTTCATATAAGATTTATTTTAATTCGTACGACGGATTCGACGTTTACTTTAAATAAACGCTATAGTGCAGCTTGTGTAAATCTAAACAACTTATAAATCAAAAACAACGTGGTCGTATACTTCAATTATTACTTACTTACTATTTTGTTTGACTTTGATTACAATGTGGACTATAACAAATTATTTGATATCTTTTGATCCCGAATGTACCAAAGTAGCTATTATAAAGTTTTACTAATATCTGGTTTTCTTTTTCTTCAATTGGTTCTCGGTTAGTGAACATGGTTCGTGAATTATTTGAATAAATATCTTCAACGACCGATGAATAGCTATTCTGTAATAGGGCTGGGCGATTATTTCGATTAATCGATTATAATCAAATACTATTAGAATAATCGATTGTTGTGGGGAGGAAAAAATTAATCGCGCAGCCCTAGTATAATCTTAAAACAAATTAGCATACAATTTAAAAACTAGCTACGTTTTTTCGGTTCTCGTTCTTTCGTGTAGTCGACAAAATTTATATGCCTATGACCAGTTATTTATGAAATCGATTTCTCGATATGTCAGTCTGTCATGCGTCGTAGGTCCTTTCTATCTTCTATACCGATTGTATGGCAAATTCGTGTATTTTAACAGATGTCTGCCGTCCTGTAGTTTTCCGCAGTCGCATATTTACGTTATTGAAACTACATCGCCCGAATTATCCAATAATACAGATGGATAACTAATGGTTATGCCGTACGTCAAATAAATATTATTACTGTACATGTGTATGCATAGGTACTTTATTGTGTAGTTGCGGTACGAACAGTCAATATATTTTTCTCCTTTTATTTTCTCTCTTTATCCGCGCGAAAACTTTATATGCGATATTATAAAACGTGACGTGAATAAACAAAATCATAACGTGTTACTACAGTTCGACGACGTCAAACATGTTATTATAATATTATTATAATGATAATGCTTCGGACATCACGTTATAAATGCGTTTTTGTTCGACTCTAGCGGGTCTCGCGAACTCTCGTGACAAGTTTATCGCGTTGCAGTTAAATTATTATCGGCGTTATTTTTTTGTTTCTATTCAGTCGTCAGTTCAACGCGTGCGGCAGAGTTCGTCAATAATAATATTATTATGACGTTTTATCGTTGACGCTGTCACAACAATCGAATACATTATTGGCATGCGATACGAGACTGATACTTATTCAAATTTTTATCCGGGTAAATAGGAAAATTTCTTGTCCGACGTCGAAAAAAATACTGTGTACAGGGGATTTCCGTATTAGCGTCTTTTTTTCTTTACAATTTTGAACATATGATACGTATACTGGAGGAGCGAGAAGCTGCAGGCCCCTTGCGAAATTTCTCACACAGACATACTCGTGGATTTAAATTAAGTTATATGACGGTTTCTAGAAAGTGGGAGGGGTTATAGAATTATGGTATTATAATATTTTATGTAAAAAACACTGCGGGTCAGCATGAAAAAATCTCTGGAACGTACCTAGTATACGACCTCTATAAATAAGTTTTTGTATCGTTTTACGATTCGTATACTTTAAAACATTCCTTCAACGTTGACATTATTAGTATGTTTACCAGTGTTTTGACGCAGTGCTCGAATTTGGTTTGTTCAGACATTTTAGCCATTACTATTTATTTTAAGAAAAACGCTCGGGACGGTAGATATTTTTTGTATTTATATCAAAATGCACTTGGATTAAATGTTTTGAAAATTTTACCACGTTTCTTAAGAGCTCCATATATGTAGCATATAAGTGTTCGGTAAAATTGCATGTCTCTACGATAACTTTTCACTGAATTACAACTTCAAAATACAAAATCGAATGTAATAGACTGATATAACGAGGGTAGACACGCTAGTTTTTTTTTAAAAAAAAATCTTATATTCACATTTCTTTTTGTTTTCCAACTCGAGCACTGCGTGTTTACGCTAAAATATGCAAAACGAGAGAATAAAATAGTGTTTCGCTTATGGAGAGAAAAATATACATTATATTAAATAATGTATAACGAACACCCTCTGCTACAACAACAACAACCTCGATTTTTTTTTTTTTTATAGTTTTGAATTTCAAACTCGTATATAATATTATATAAGATCGTGTATATAAATGAATAGCTATTCTGTATTAAGGCTGCGCGATTATTTCGATTAATCGATTATTTTAAATTCGTTAAAAATAATCAATTAACAATCATCCACTTTCTTGTTAATTCTATTAATCGATTATAATCGAATACTGTTAAAATAATCGATTGTTACGGGAAAATATTAATCGTCCAGCCCTAGTATAATATTAAAATAAATTAGCATATATTTTAAAAAGTAGTTACATCTTTTAGGTTCTTGTTCTTTCGTGTAGTCGACAAAATTTACATGCCTATGACCAGTTATGAGAAAAATATACATTATATTAAATAATGTATAGCGAACACCCTCTGCAACAACAACAAGCTCGATTTTTTTTTTCTTTTTTGTTATAGTTTTGGATTTAAAACTCGTATATAATATTATATAAGATCGTGTGTACAAATGTGGTATAGAAGTCGGACGGTTCGGCCTTGGAATTAATATAGATACATTATTATTATTATTATCATTATAAATTTATCGACAGATAAAATCCATTATTATTATTATATTTTTATAATAATATAGAATAACCAAAAAAAAAAAAAAAAAATCGTCAATTACGTAGGATAGAATCTTCTTTTTTCTTTCGCAATCGACTCAATAAATCTTTAACGATATTGTAACATATATATATATATATATTTTATGTATTTTTTTATTCATTTTTATTATAATTGCACCATAAACGTTAATGGTTATAATATGATATAAACGGTTATGATTAGTTTTTATTGACAAATTGCTGTTTATTACCTGTTACGCGTCTAAAATTATTTGTGAAATATATAGTTTGGCTAATAATGGTTATACACTTTTATACGTTTAAATTTGATGTTTGATTTTCGCGGTTCGTTATTATGCTATCGTTGTATCTCAAACGCTCGTGGATGTCTGTCAGGATATATCAGGAGACGATATAATATTTCAAAATGGAATTTTTTTTTTCACCCGTATCTGTAAATGATGTCTACAGAGTTATACGGCTGTTGCAAAAAAGTGCTGCGAATAAGTACATTATATCGCTGCAAGTACCACAGATATTACTCGAGGTTTACAGCGTTACAATATTTTACCAACGGTATTGTTTTCCCTCGGAAATTTACAGCACAACGATAATATTATATTATAATATAATATGTTCCTCAAAGGAATACAAAATTCGATTTTTGTTAACAATTTTTCACCAATTTGGCATCCGATTGGCTATACATCGTAAAATAGAACCACCGATCATATAGTCGTACATATTTCTCAAGGACGGCGGCGACGGTACTCCGATACGATTTTACTGTTTTCTCTTTGATATCCGCTGAAGTAATAAATTCCGGGTGCAGCAAAAAAAAAAAAAGCAATATTATTTTCTAAAAAATATTTTTGTTCGTCTGGTTTTTTTTTTTTTATTTTTCCCTCGTCTTGGTCGTCAACGTATACAAGATAATATTATTATCATGTATGACATATAATCTCTACTCTTTTTTTTTCGCACCACTACGTCACCTAAACTTCCGAATCCCAATAAACCCGGTGACGCACACATAAATTAAAAACATTGTGAACTAAAAAAAATTCCATAATAAAATAAGGAAATGTTTTAACTTTATTTATTTATTTATTTATTTATTTTTTTTTCATTTATCATTAATTTCTTAATATTATTGGCAATAGTATATGTTGCTAATTTTAAACAAACCCTTACAGATATGGATACCTGTAATAAGTAAGTCGTAAATGGCTTATTTCAAATGTATTAATACTGCATATGATATTACTTATTTTGAAACGGAGGCGACTGCTCTGCATTTAAAACGATTCCCCCTGTTCATTTGTTTCGGTATGCAATACAATGCACTTAAAGTTGTGTAATATTTTATTTTTCAAGTAAAAGTAAAATAGTTTTTCAATTCATTTTAAAATAAGACTTGTTATTTCACATATATAAAATGTATACCTAAATATTGGTAACGTACATACATAAACAAAAATACCACGTAATAATTAATCGTAATATCCGACACTATTTATACAAGGAAAATCGCAAATACGTTTACTTTAACTATTGGCGAGTATCCACTACAAAAAGATGTATATATTTTTTATTTAAAAAAACCATTTATTACTATTTATAATCGTAAAATATACAGATAATTATAGTTTATCTACCTCCAATAAGCAAAGATTGAATTGGAGGTAAAGAGTTACTATGATGTATTGTACACAATTATTTTTACATTGAAAACTATACAACTATCCGGTAAAAATAACACATATAAATAAATGTATCTATTTTATTAAATTAAACAAATATATTTATATAATGGACCGACCTACCTACTCATCGAGTACTATTCAATATAATATATATACATTTATCTTCTTGTTAATTGATACGATTTATTAAAATTTATAAAGAGAGAATTATTTGAATATTGTTATACTACCAAATAAATAAATACAATCGTAATTAACAGTTATCGGTAGATAGATTCTGTTTTTTATAAAACATAATCTCTAAGTTTTGGCACGTAGGTAATATATTTTTGTATGTAATAAAACGCCTAATTTCGGGGGTTTTTTTTCCGTACTTATTGTAAAACAAGGGTGACTAAATTTTTTTCGGCAAACATCTACTAAAAATATATTTCACCTTTAAGTATCGAATTCCATAAAAAAGTTGTTTTTTTTTTTATTTCTTGTTTGCACTCATACTTATAAATTTAAAAAAATTTAAATACGTTATTATAAATGTGATACAACAGAAACCGAATTAATTCAGTGAAACTAGATTACTGAACTAGAAAGTTGACTGCGTGAACAATAAACATTTGACATTCGAAATCAGAATAAAAAATTAAAAAATAATATAATGGGAATGGATGCAGCTATTGGTGTAGGCAAGAAGTTGAAAAGAATATATACAGGAATTTAATGTATATCTGTAAGCAACGATAAACCATTGCTCCCGAAAAAACGATTATGAACGGAGTTCAGTTGACAGTGATGCTTTGTCAACAATATATATATAATTTTGTAGTAAAATAATAAAACAGGTTTTATATATTTTCTTTAGTAAAATTTTTTTTATGTTGACACATTTTCCAAGTTTTCCCATGTTTAATACCGGTTTTTCAAATTTTCTTTGCAGAAAAATTGCGCACAGATAAAAAAATAAAAATCATCTTTGTAAAACTATACGTTTCTCCGCTCTACTCAGAATCTAAAATTATACAGATAAGATACATCGACAATATTTTTATGTCTACCACCACGGAGAATAATTTTCATGTGCGAGCCTAAAAATAAATTCTGATATGATTGACATTAAAATCGTTCGAGATCGACCGTTTGGCCGCCCCTGTTGTAAGATATTACAAAAATAAACGATTTCAATAAATTTACTAAATCAACACTGGTAGTTAGTGTGTTTTTAAAACAATGGGAGAAGTATAATGCTTAGCGTTATAACCTCCTCCTGCACACGCCACTGATGAAGTCGGTGACTTGTAGATTTCTACATTACCATACAATCAATAGAATTTGCTCTTCTAGTATAATATAACTTCGTATAGTATTATTAGGGCCTCTAGTCGGGTATTTAATTGTTTTATATATCTACAAAGATTTGTTTTAGTTTCAAAGTGTAACAAGAAATGTATAGCGATTTGCAGTGATACTTATTTTTTTATGTTGTTTTTAGATTCTGAACCGAGCGAGATATGTAATGATTTTACAAAAATGTTTATTTTTTTTTTTTTTATGTGAATACTTATTCTCTCAGAAAGCTTACTCCAATTATCGAGTATAGCGCCTTTTCTGAAAGGAAATGTTCTCTGGGTGGTAATTTAGAGAAGTAATTTTTTGAAATTCTCATTAATATTAAAGATAATGAGGAAAACCCGATTCTTTAGGTTAAAAAACATTGAAAGATTACAAATAAGTTTATCATTAGCAACCGTTTTTATTTATTTTTTATTATTTATTAAGTTTTTATTATTTTAAATTTTTTTTAAACTATCATTATTATAGAAATGCATATTATTTTAATCATTTTACCATAATATGACATATATACTGTTAACAAAGCAACACTATCAACTGAACTTTGTTTAGAATCGTTTTTTCGTTAGTAATGGTTTATCTTTGCTTACATAGATACAATAAATTTACGTCTGTATCCTATCTTCCAAATTTCCCACCGACAACAGTGGCTGCACCCACGTACAAAGTATGTCCGTCCTTTTTTTTATCTGTGAACAACTTTTCAACTAAAAATTTTAATCGGAGTACTTTTTTTGCAAGGAAATCTATAAGTCATTTTTTGATTTTCCCAGGGTTTTTCATAATAAATGGGAAAATCGAGAAAAACGTATGAAAACGAGAAAATTTACGAAACATATTGACGTATTTAATACATGTAAAACCGAACTCCGATCAGAATCATTATTCGATAGCAATGATTAATTGTTGCGTACATTTAAACATTAAATTTCCCCTTTACCTTCGCAACTGCTCACTTACAACAGTGGCCCACTCATTGTGTACAGTATGGACGTTTTTTTTTTTTTTTTTTTTTTTGTTGTTGTTACTGTTGAACGTACACACTTAATTATAAATATTTCGTGTGAACAAATTTTTTTGGTTTTATGTGACTTCGTGAATACGGTGATAGGCTCCGGGTTAAATCCGATCCCACACGTATTTTTTTTCACGGTCTTATCGGAAAGTTGGTCACCGTTTTCGTTTCGAAAAGGTCACTGCAGTGGTTGAATAAAATATAATTTGCAATGGTATTGTTAATCTCGAGAATATGTGGTTTTTTTATAAAACTATTAAATAATCACGTTTATTATTAAATGCTATATTAATAAACCGATTATATGGAAATATATGGATAATTTGTAGTTGTGAGACGTCCGGTCTTATTATATTATTTACCATGTAGTTATCGTGGTTAGTTGTAAACTCGTAAACGCACTGCCACGGCAGTATAAACTGCAATAATAGTAGGTATTTGTCGAGTAACGTAATATTATTATTATTTTAAAAATACGAAAAAAAAAAATAACCGATACTGGGGAATATGGGAACGGTCACTAATGTAGGTGAGAAGTTGAGATGGTACATAAGGTTATTTTATTTATATCTGCAAGCAACAAAAAACCAATGCTTGACGAATGACGATACCGAGCGCAGTTCGGTAATACATAATTTTTGCGATTTTCGTTTGAATTTGATTTCAAAACGCTTATTAAAAAAAAAGAAAGTCGTTTGCTGATTTTATAAATTGTACCACGTCTATAAAATCCTAATATAAGTATTATTACCAAGTTTAAAGTGTACTAAAGTATTTAAGTACTCTATGTGAGTTTATAATAAAATTACAGCAAAAAATCTGCCACAACTTAAAATTCCTCAAAAACTCAAAATTGGCTCAAACGTTTTGGCGATGATACCGTAAGAAAGTATATCAGAAAACTATCTTGCGATTTTTCGATTAAATCATTTTTTTCTGGTGAAAAACGTCGTCTGTGTTTTTATAAAATAATGAAATCGTGAAATTGTACGTTTGTTTCCACTCAAGTGCTTTTATTTAAAAATGGCATCGAAAATGAATGACCTTTTTAGAGTACAATCTAGACAACTTGGGCTTTCAGACAAGGCAATCCATATAAATTGTTTATTCAAATTTGATTTTAATATACTACCATGACAATTAGTTTGCGTTTATCAAAAAAAATCAATAAGCAATACTTATTTACTTACCAACTCAAATTAACAAATACACAATGGTACGAATGGTATGATATAAAACAAGAATACAATTAGGAACGGTTATTTCACTTATTATAATAGTTTTTAAATTACGTAGTTATTAATTAAATCATAATGAATTTCGCATGATAAGTTAATGCGATTTTGTCAACATTTTAACGATCCGACACACGCCCATCAGAGCGCTACCAACACAGTATTAAAGCCACTTCTGAGTCCGTAACTATACATTTCATAGCTGATAAACAAACAAAATATGGACGGAACGCATACGCTGTATCTCTATTTAAAGTTCTGCGGTAGTCTTCGAGGTCGTGTTATTTTCTCCCGTGGCGACGGTGTGAAAACTTTTCAAAACACAAGTAATAATTATATTTCGCTGTAATGCCCATTTTAATACCGCTAAAACAACCGTGATCTTATTAAACCGAAAAGCTTTGCTATTCAAATTTCAATTATCAATAACAACGGTTTGACGCACAGTCTCGATTAGTTTCGAGTTTTATAACTTTGGTAATATTATTATTGTGATGTTCAAATTCAAAGTTTATAAAACGGACTTAATTCCCGGTTAGGGTATGGCGGTTCGTGTTATTACAGCCGCTTCAAAAATGATTAAAAATTAATGCTTCTGGCTCATGCGCACATCAGTCCGGCTCGCGAGTAGTTACATTAAAAATACCAGTATGCTTAAACATTATAAACGTGCGTTATTATTATGTAATTATTATATGTATATAAAAAAAAAAATTGGCTGCGACGTTTTAATTGAATAACAAAAAAAAAAAAAAACCATTGTATTAATTCGTCTCGTCAAAATATAAAAATACGTAACTGTCTAAAAAATCGTTCTACAAACTATCATAGTCTATAATCATGCCATTATATAAATGAGTCATATTCTCTGGGAGAAGAGAAAATCTCCAACCTTGACACTCTGTATCTCACACGTGTCCTTGGCCACGAACACGGCTGTTTCGATGTTTTTTCGTTTTTTATTATTATTATTAGTTTACATTTCTTTTGATTTGCACGTTGTAAATAATTGAAAGTATAACAACGAAATCCCGTTGAATCTATGTAAATTGACATTGATATCTAATTAACATTTACTGTACTTTGGGCCTAGCCTGTATTTAATATAAAATAAAAATAAGAAAATAAGATATTCAAGGAGTATCGATAAAAACAGTCAACAAGTAAACCGCTATATATCCTCAAGGCGTATTTTAACATTTTTTTTAGTTAAATTTTACGATATTAAAAAACCAAATAAAGGTTGTCCGTGTATATAATAAATAAACAGTTTTATTATATTATTATTTTTAATTTCTAATATTTTTAAAACTTTTAAAAACTTACAGAAAAAAAAGATAGGTATAGAAATATCGTCGTTAAAATGCAAATAATTTGATTATTTTTTCGATTAAATATTAATAATTGTGGAGCCGTTAATTAATTCAGTATTTACATTATTTACATTATTTACATTATTTACGTGCTTCTATATTAATAACATCGCGGAGGTAAAAACGGATAGTGAACGAAAAATACCATAAATTTTTTAATTAAACCAATATGAATATCATATCAACTCGTAAATTCGATTTTATTAAAGACGCTTATGTATTTTTCGTCCAAGATTTATCCAAAATCTCAAATGGGGAAATGAAGTCACCTCGACAAGAGTCAGAATCGACCACTCATTACCCATTCTTGGCTCACTCACACTTGATCATGAAAGTAAAAAAATGTAACAAATAAAACCATTTTCGAGTTTTCTTAAGTGTCCAGTATATAATCCTAGAACGCCCGGAACATCAAATCACAAGATAACAGCTATCCACAAATCTAGAATCCTCTACAGAAATAACAGCACATAGATCATTCATTTTTTCATCTAAATAAATTTTATAAGTAAACTGTAAAACTATGTAAATATGTTGAATAAAGTTTTTCATTATCAGCTGTAAAACGAGAATCCTACGATAATCAAAATCACTTTCGAAAACCGAAATTGAACGGTATTCGCAAGAAATAGGGTACCAAGTCAACTATCGTAAGTTTAGATTCTGAGCCCTGACTATGTTATGTGTTTTGAAAAACAAATCTTTCAACCAGAAATGTTGATCCAATCAATAAAATGACTAGAGCATTTTTATAGCATTTTGGATCTAATTGTTGAATTTAGGAGACAAATAAAAGACTAATTATTTTTGATTTTTTCGATTTTATATTTTCACTAAAAATCTTGCTCTACATTTCAAGAATAGAATGTAATCCGAAAGGAAAATTTGTCACATTGGTGAGATAAGAAGCAATTTTATGATTTTCCATGTAGTTTTCTAAATAATCTGAATCGAGTTGTACTTGAGTTATTATTTGATAAGCAATGTAAGGCACAATAAGTCATTAATTAATTTAGAACGATATGGTTAGAACAACAATAATAATTACAAAATAAATGTATAAACATACAAGTTATAAAACACGTGTATTCGGAAAGCGTACATAAATCGACATGACAACAAAAATATTTTAAACCTTTTTTGTGTTTCTTGATAAGCGATCAAAAGATCCGTCCAATTTTGAACACACGTTTGAAATATTGTTTTCAATTTCAGGAAGATTGTTTATGGTGTTCTGTAAGTATAAAATTTAACGACGTCCATATTGTTGAGCTCGTCAAATATTTTGGTAAAAAAAACCCACTAAACTATTTTCTGACTTTCAGGAATGTTCGCCTGCAAGTGAACCATGCAGTGATACTATATCATATTTAAAATTATATTGTTGACAATATATTTTAATACATTTTTGGTGTGACTGAGTTAATATCCAATTTTAAAACTGGAACTGGCGTAACATAACAATAATTATATTTTATTATAAGAAAAATATCGTTAACAACTATACAAAAACATTGTAATGTTTTCTTAACGCAGTACGACTCTGCTATCTGTATGCACACGAATTATAACACGAAAAAAGGTTAAAAAAAACAACATTTTCGTGTATGTTTAAAAGGTTTAATATAATATTAGATTTTAATATATTATGTGTGTAAATATTGTCGAACTCTTCTCTCGATACAGATTTATATTTTTTGTTACTTTGTGTGTATCTATATATATATATTTTTTATTTTAATTTTCTAGGTATTGAAAATGTATCTAATCTATTTCAAATGTCTTCTGTTGGGTAAATGTTTACCGAGTATTTATTCTCGCTACACACTTACATATTACCAAGTAATAGTCCAATGACATTTCGTCGAATTGGCTGTGGATCATTCGCGGGTCTACGATCGTAACATAATAACAATAGTATGTAAAAACTATTTGTTTTAAACACAAAAATTCATAAATATTGAAGAATTTGTTATTAGTTTTCACATCTCTGGCTAAAATTTGAAAAATATCGTAAGATACTCCTTAAATTCGGAACATAGCGAGGAATGTATTGGCTCTACAGTTTTTTTATTCTGTGAAAAATTTTTCTAGCAGAATCATTGCTCCGATATATCAAGTATAGTACCTTATTCTGAAAGTAAATTTTATCTCCTGGGTACTTTAAAGACGTCATTTTTTTTATTTTCCATGCGGTTTTCATAATAAGTGGGAAAAACCGTAGGAAACATGAAGAGATTAACCGACAAATATTTACGTTATAACGATTTAATGATTACAATTTTGAAACTTACGTTTTCTCCTAGAAATCTACAAATAACAAGAGACCTTTTTGTTGCATTTTAAATCTAGTTGCTCACGAACAAAGTAATTTTTCGAAAACGTGTATAATCGTACTTCGCTTTTAAACGTTTTTCGTTAGTAATGATTTATCGTTGCACACAAATATAAATATAAATTGTCCTCTATATCTTCCATATGCTATCTCTCAAACTTCTAACCTTCAATAGTGGCCCATCCATCGTGCGAAGTGTGTCCATCTCGTTTGTTTCGTTTCTACCTCAACGATAATATTTCCAATAGTCGACAAGTGGATTGAAATAAATACACCGCGGAATTTCGTATTGTTTTTTTTCTTTTATTTACACTATTGACAGTATATTATTTCGTAACTATCTCTGATCGTATATAATGTATAACTACCTATGACCTATCGAACATTTTACAAGAATAGGTACCTACTGAATTATGACTATAATTTATGCGAACAATTGGAAACTATAATGATTTATACTACGAGTATCGGATTCGGAATTCATGGCCTACAAACTGTAGTAACGATGTAACAGTCCGGATCGTTATTTACTTTTTAGTACCCACTGTGCAATACGCTTACGGATTTCCGTTTCACTGAATATACAGTAGGCGTTCTCTTCGTAGTCAAATTCTATTGGTTGTTCGAAGTTTTCAAACTGTAGTCGACGCGTAATTTTAATTCAAACGTGCCAAACAGTATACGAATAAGATGTTCAACAAATTATTGCAAATTTACCCAATATTTACTTGCGTTGTCTATCCAACAATAATACACAGTAAGCTGCGATATACACGGTATTTGTTTACTACAATGCAATTCAAATATCTATCCAAGACGAGTATATTATATTTGTCCGATCGCTCAATATTGTACCACAAACGATATATTGCGTCGGATCGAAATTTAAATCGACTAGAAAAACGAAACACGTGAAAACAATATTATTACGTATTATATTTTTCGGATAAATATAATTTATATTTTCTGAAAAAAAAAACTATAAGCTATAAGTACAGCTTTTACAGCAGTAATACCTAATCCAACACGCGATTCATTTTTCATCTATTTAGTGACAAACTGATAAACTGAATAATATTATAAGTTATAATATGGCTATAATTTATAATCATATTATATGTGTACCATAACTAAACAGTTACTATACTAAGTATTTCATATTTTCATAAAAATGAGTTAGCTATAAATATTATGTATAAAAATATACCTATAATACCTACCTACGTATGGTGTAAATGTAAAATTAGTTATTTGAAATTTAAAAAAAAATGTTAATGCAATAATATGTGGTTGACTTTATCTTTTCAAAAAAAAAAAAAAAACAAAACATAATTATTCAGTCAAAAATACAGTCATTTCGCTGTTTTGGTGACAAATAGTATAATTTCTGTTTTCTATTAAAGGAGGGAAAAAATAATATTTTTCGAGGCGCTTTAATGCGTATCTACGCCACTAAATCATAAAATTTAGTGTTTTGACGATTTAAGGAATACTATCGCATAGTACCTACTAATTGTGTGACCATAGTTTACCTATTCTAAAGGAAAAATAATATTCTTTCAATACAAACAAAAATTTGTTTAAATTAATTTTGGATGCAATATTAAGATTATAAAGCGCTTAAATTAATTTTACTTTTATAATATGTAAATACTTACTCTAATACTTAATAGTATACAATAATGCTTGAAACATAAAATGGACGACTGTGTGTTCTTCTTTTCGTTTTATCGCAAAAACACACAAACATTATGAAAGTGGAACAGAGCGGGACACGGTTTTATTTTTATTTAAATCCGGACAAATGCACATTTTAAAAGGTCGTGGTAAATAACGTTACATAAGTAGAGTGATACCTTACCGAAAAAAGCTCCCGGACAGCGATTATTCGAATTCATAGTCGAAGACCTGTGACAATATTAGTACGACCCACGATTATTTGTGCGCGGTTTATTATCGTTGGTCCTATGATGCGACCTCACTAGACTCTATAATATTATTATAAGACGATATTATATTTATGTATTTTTATTCAGTTTTTATGCAAAAGAGAAAATAAAAAAATATATACGGATCAATATCATACATATATATATATATATATATATATATATATATATATAATAGATATTAAAATTGGCGAGCAATCAAAATATTCGTTAATCGACCGAATAAAATAATAATATTATTATTTGTTAATGGTCGAATCTGAGCGATTTATGTGTCAAGGTCGTTGAACCGGTTTAAAAATAACCATACTCGTCCTGCAATCACGATTCTATGTAACTTTAAAGTTATTATTGCATTGTAGAGGACGCCACGCCCACATTCGCAGCTGTCTCGGTCAGAGGAGTATATAGGTATTAATTATTTATGAGTGACGGGAAGGATTTCCGATTGATTGTGTAAAAGATGCGAATTCGAAATTTATAAAAAAAAAAATTAGTAAATAATCACGTGACTGTGTACGTGAAAAACTGAAAAACTCCTATATTCATTCGTAACAATTTGAAAAAAAAAAAAACTTCCCCGAAAAAAAGAAAAATAATAATATTTGAGCAGAAAATCGGCAGTGAAATTTAAACCAGCATAAAGGCGCATACTTGATACTAATGTCATGCACGTAAAAAATCGTATTACCCTGACTTCATTTTAGGGGTCAGTATTGGTGTCCAAAGCTAAAACCAACACCCTCCTGCCGTAAAAACAAATCGTGAAATTGATATTGATATTCGACACGATTTTAATCACTCCGATGATCCACTTAAAAATAACAACCTAAGTTTCATCTCATTCATTGGTCCAGACAAAGCCACTATAATAGTATGAAAAAATAACAGAATTAATATTACGGGCAAAAATATCTATTTTTTTGGGAAAATTCGACGGTAAGTGCAGCGCATTAAATTTAATGGGCAGCAAACTAACCTAATACCGAAAAGATGATTTCTGATACGGGACTGATAAGCTACAGAGAACTGAAGAGGTTTTAGGTGGTTAAAAGTATAACATGATAAACTGGAAAACCTAACTCACCCCAACAGCACAGACGGTGCCGAAACCTTCCTTTTAAATATCTTATTAATACCTATTAGGAACTTCCTGTTGGAAGCATTTTAATATTTTCCTTTCAATCTTAAAAATTAAAAATCAAAACAATAGTGGACTACCGACCCAAATTTAATCTATAGTTCACAAATATTTAAATTAAAAATATAATTCCATTACGCATATTTTTACACATTTAGCATTATTGCTTCCAAACGTAAATTATTCTGTAATGTCATGATTGATTGCCAGTAATGATACGAAATTCTGTTTTCCTTGTGTTTAAGAAGAACATCTATAATTTTTATACATTTAAGTACGAGGAATTACATTCGCTCAGGGGTGGATCCAGAGGCCGATAGAGGCCATAATAAGACTTAAAGAAAATGGTTATTTCAGCTCTTGAAACTATATTACTTATCGTTCAATATTATCAGAATCTAATTCAAGCGAATCGAGTACATTTTTGGTACATATTTTTACAATACTCTGTAAAATACGCATCATTATATAATTATAATATAATTAAATGAAAAAAAATATTATTAACTTTAATATAAACGCCCAATCGTATATCCGTACCTAAAATATCTTTAAAGTATACAATTTTTCTTTTAGTATAAATTGGGCTCTAAGGAACTAAAGGCCCTGTGCTCATGTACTGCACACGTCTCTATCAGGGCCTAACGTAACCTGTGCGCTAAATTAATTTTTAAATGAGTGCTGTGGTGGTACTATATTTTAAGTTGTCAGTTTTTGGATAACTTCTAATCTCCGATAAACAATTAATCTACAAACTTAACGGGTCTACACGGGTATTCGAATTAAAACCACCGAGGGTAGCAGCCCACGAACTCCGCCGAATATTATGTGTTGCATAAATCGATAAATTCGCATTTAATAATGCAGAACGGGAATAAAACTTTTTTTGACTTCGTGATAATGTTTAAAAATGTATAGCATAACGTTCATCATAAATCGTAATGGCAAAAAAAAATTGAATAAACTATAATTTTTATTAGCGTTATACGTTCATAATAATATTAACAACAAAGTCGATAAAAACACGAACAATATATGCAATTTTACAATATAATAGTAATTTATTTTGTTAAATACGAATCAATTTTAAAATTCATTAGAAACTGTCTAAACGCTCAGAATCGTTTTTAATTTCCAATTATTTATCGTTATGTACACGTATAAATAATAAAATTACTCAACCAACTTTTCTGTATCGTCTAATTTCTTTTAGTTTTTCAATATTTTTTGTTGTTTTTTCAATTTTTTTTTTTTTTTTTTTGTGAATACGTTTCAAAGTAAAAAGTCATGTAATATTAATATGCCATAATAATATGTAAATATAATCCCCCTTGTGCAATAAGAATGTTACGTATTTTTTACTTCGGCTCTTTATAGAATCGTTTGATGTGGATAATAATATATTAAAATCAAAGACGACGGATTAATAAATTTATTTCGGTTTAAATTTCCGTTTATAATGAAATACGGTTAACATTCACACTATCATCCGAAATGCGCATATTTTGTGTATCCCACGACATTATTTTTGACAATATCACTCCGTATTACAATTATTAAAAAAAAAAAACAATCTACGGCGTGTCAAATTGGTATGATATTATGTATCGTACATTTTTTTAATTAATTAACTAATTAGTACCACAAACGCAAAATAGCAATATAACATGTATATTATATTTTATATTACACAATTTACATTTACAGCTACAGCATTTTAAAACAATTCCATTGCTTTCTTGAGTTTCAATAACAATGATCTTCACCCTTCACCGGGAAAAAAGTTGATTTACAAATATTAATATTTTCATTAAATCGTGCTAAACATAGACTATGAAGAGTTGAAAATCATATTTCTATTTATAAAGTTAGGAATGTGTATTTTATATTTCGGCTGCACCCGATTCGTTTCCCATACTTAAACATATAAATCCAATTTGGTTCATGCGAGTTTTTACGAAGAGTGTTTCCGAATCGGTTCCTGACAAAGATTTCCGAAAAAGGCAAAATACAATATAATAACGATCGTTGTTTCCATTTAAAACAAGTTTCTCGAACATGGAGTTTATGTATAGTGAAAAAAATAAGAAACTTATCGTATTAGAGCAGTGGTAACCAACTACGGCCCGAGGGCCAGATTCGATCCACGATCGTTTATTAATCGGCTCACCAAATTATTATTAAATCAAAATTGAAAATGAAAATAACTTCAAATTTTGAAAATTAACACTCGTATAAAAAAAGACATGTTTGTACTTCATATTTTTTTCTCGTTTATAACAATCAAAACATAATGCATAATTAAATATATTGATTATTAAAATGAACCCATAATTAAATAAAATATTTTATTAATTTAAAAGTAAAAATTTAAAATTCTTGATCCACACAAAAGTGTATTATTATTTTTTATGGCTCTCTGTAAAACAAAGATTGGTCTCCATTGTGTTGGAGGTTGAATTTAAATAAAAATACTAAATATTGGACATTCCATCTATAATGTACGTACAATATAAATATTAAAAAATTCTAAAACCCCATTATAACCGGTTTACTCGTCCAACATGGCATTTAATGGATTAATATCTTAAAAATTGACTCTAAATAGTAGATTTGAATAGCTATTCGAATTATTGTACCAAACAAATGAGGCATGTTCAAGACCTTTCAAGGCGAAATCTTATTATCTTACCAATGAAAAATAAACTGTTATAAGGGCATCAGAGTAATATAATTCGACTTTTACCATTTAAGAAGAGATTAGATGACGTTATGTCCGTTAGAAGATTAGCAATGTGCCTGTGATCAGCAAGGCTTAATTCACGGGAGAGTGTTCACAAGGCGGATATAGGCAATATACTGAGTCTGTTGGTAATAAGACGAAGACAATTTCTTTGAACTCCACAATCATGTTGTCATACAAATTTCAACCAGAAGAAGAAGTGTCCAAGAAGCCAGAACCATATATTAGTACGGAGTAGGACAAATAAAGGAACAATAAAAGAGAGTTCCGGGTGAAACAGCAAACGAAATTATCGAGAGAAGTGATTTATATCCTAGACCTAATGAGGTATTATATTATTCTTTTCGCGAATGTTCGGATGTTATGATCGTTACTTTTGGTTATCTAAAATATGTTATCTTTTTTTAATGCATTACATTTATCGAAGATTTTACGTGATTTTTATACAAAAAAATAATAAAATAAATAATATTATAAACTAAAATGCCGGTTTTTTTCTTTTAATACATAATATACGTATTATTTGACTTTTTACTCCAACTCAATGGCGTATATCTATGGTCTCAAGCAATGCAACTGCATGGGTTGTCACAACTCGGGGTGAATGGGGTGGTATTTTTCAAAATTATTTTTGATTTTTTCATTACGAATTTTAACTGGAGGAACAGGTGTATAAATCAGGGATGACTTTTTTTTTGCACGTATTTACTCGGCACTGGGTGGGTGGTATATACTCTCGTTAGCTGCACGGGTCGTTGAAATTCCTCCGTGCATCACCGCTCCAATTAAGTCGCGATTCGGTGACAAAAATATGATTAATAGTATGTATTATGTTCGTATATTATATCATAATGTTAAGTATCGAATATTCAATTTTTTAATGTAAACACCGGACATTCCGGCCAATTTTTACCGGTTCCTCGAGTGCTATTGATAAGCGGGTTTTCCTGTATATAACGGTACACTGCGGTCCAGTGTGATGTAAAGTAACGAAAACCCCCAAGCGGATGCGATCTGCCACTCCGGATATCCGCCGCCGCGGCCGTAGTTTCCGTTTCGCGGCGCCAAACATTTACAAGAACAAGACGGGCGACTCGGTAGTGTATACTTTTTTAAAACGAATATATCGTCACGAAATCGTTAAACGTAATTGTAATGCTCGTTGGAACGCGCGCAGAGTTCGGATGCGCAGCACATCGCATTATACACCGTTCGACATGCCACGTGCCGTCGCGGTTCAAAGTTTGGTGCATTCTGACCGAACGACACGCGAAGTTATTGATAAACAGCGGAAATGTTCGCGGGCGGGTATAATAACAGCGAATTCTCCCGAATTCGTTTTCGAAATATTACTTTGGAAATTGTCAACGTAAACGCGCGCATCCGTCTGCGTAGGCGAATGCTAATATAATATGTATCGAGTAAATATACCTACGTGCGCGTTTGATTCGACATGACAGTCAGACGGTATTTGTGTTTTGCGCGAGCACACCCGCGCGACTATCGAATCTGTACGTTGATGTCTGCGGCGCTGCACTGAAAGTAGGTGCCCGCTGTTTCCGCCCGGCGAGTGAATCGACTTTACGCCGGTATCGGAAATGCAGTCTCGCAAATCGCACGCGATCCCGAAACGCTCGGTGTTTACTACTGTTAAACGTCCGACCGGTAACGTAATGCGATACCTGCGACGTCTTCGTCGTATACCGGGGTTTCGTTGTACCATATCGAATTGCCGCGGATTTCGGCCTTTCTGATTGGCCGACGAGTACGCATCGTGGAGAAGGCGCCGCGTGACGTCCTGGAATTCCTAATGCGCCGACCAGGACATACAGGCGTACCTGTATAAATAACTCGTAACTCGTGTGACGGTATTTTAAGTGTCCGACGAGTATTTATCACTCGTATTACACACACACTACAGGTACAAATGCAGCATGTCAAATTTCCGGAGAAAGGACTGAAAAAAATCCGTGCTCCCTGTGAACGTCAAAACCGTTTTCAAACCGCGAATAATATTCAATATGATTAAAAAAAAAAAAAAAATTGTTGATCTAACGTGCCGATAATGTGGTAAACGGTAAAAAAAATTTCAATATCTACCAGTTACGGACTCGGGCGTTTTTTTATTCGTAAGTATGAGAAACATAATTGTATCGGTATTTCCGTCGATTTTTCCTGCACACGTTTTCCCCTCTTTTCCCCATGCGGTCATCAAGACGCCTCGTTATTATTGCAATACGTGTTCACAAGCTGTTTGTTTTGTACAATTTTTACGTTTTACAAAATATAATATTCAAATCAGCAATGACGTATACATACGATTGTAACAGCCAAGGCCGTATTATATTATATTTAAATTATCGAAATATTTCATTTCCGTCCAATCGGGTATATTATTATGGGCATATTTTTTCGGGCATTTTCGCTGGAATCTATTTCGGCTTGTAATTCTGCAAACAACGTACCGAGTGTCACGTATACAGTATTTAATTAAACAAACGTCAAGTGCAGTTAAGTAACTCGTATTGCAATGCGTGTTATGTGGGTGTTATCTCGTATCTAGAAACTAAAAATTAATGATACCCAATACCGAATCATTTTAAAATATCATGTTCATCCTCGCCTATCGTGATTATTATTGAATGTCCTGTTTTATGATTTTTCGAAATTTCGGCCCGAATTTCAAAAAAAATTAAGGTAATTATTATATTTATATCAAACAAAAACATTCGCGTATAATTACGAAAACAATTCGATTATTTGATTTTATATATTTTGTATTTTAATGGTGTAAGTATAATATTATAACATATTGTATAATAACGTACAATATTATATTCTGTAAACGTAAATTATGTGTTTCGTTTTATATAAATAAGAATTTAAAAAAAAACTAACGTTTCTCTCAAAACCATAATTGAACAAGAAATCGATTTTTGCGGTACTTTTGTCTATAAAAATGGAAATCTAATTTAGACGTTAAAAAATCGTATTAAATACTAAATATTTTAAGTTTTAATATATTTAAAATAAAGTAATAATCGAGAAATAAAAAAAGGAGCCAACGGCACGTAGTGTTCCCAAGCGGTCACCCACCCAAGTACTAACTACGCCCGACGTTGCTTAACTTCAGTGATCGGACGAGAACTGGTGTATTCAACGTGGTATGGTCGTTGGCATACGACTGGTAGAAATATAATATATTTAAACTGTTTTCGTAATTTTATAAACATTGTTTTTGATAGAATAACTACTACAATATTGTTTTACACAATGTCATACCGATATTGTTCCTTACAAGTTTTGCGCATGTCGATAGGAAAATCGCAAACGATTATTTGCCCCTTTACCTATCACAATAATTAATCGGTTAATTTATTTTTCAAAAAACGATTTTCTCGCCCGTAATAACCAAATAAACTAATAATAACTGGGTTTTATTTTCACCGAGTAATCTTTAATTCCATAAAAAAAAGAAAATATCAAATCAATTTTCGTTCAAAAAAAAAAAAATTACCTCGTGTCGGCCGTCCTTTAGGGAGAAATTTCGAAAAATAACTTCTTAGCGGATGTCTAAATTGTACGAAAAGTCAATTTTTCTGCGAAATTTTAAAAAAGCTAAAAACAAAATACATATGTAGATACATCTGTTATATTATAATATTATTATAGTTGTTGATTTCTGACGCGACGGAGTACTCGGAGCACGGGGCAAAAAAAAAAAAACGATTAATACTGCTCCGTTCAGAATGTTTTTTTTTTTCGTTCGCGATGAATTATAGTTGCATACAACTATACGATATTTGCATTTAATAACGCTGCGCATATCATACGGTCCATACCGTGTCCACCCACACAAAACTTTACCTACCCGTGAACAGTATCAACTCTTCATTTATAATATTATTCGTATTTTTGTTTTTACAGACTTACCGGCACGCGTAGACGAACAAAACGGCAGTATTCCCGTGATGTACGCGTAGTTCAAATGATTATGACGATACGAACGAACTGAAGAGCATTGCCTCCCCCGCCCCCCCACGGGGTCTTTTCTCGGTCGGTTCGATAGTCTCGGTATGTATGTTTATCACATGTAACATATGAGAAGCAGTTTTTAATTCGAAAACGGCCACGAGGTCGTTAATTGCTGACCTAGATAATATTGTCTATTTCGATATGTGCCGCGCGTTTTGCGGTTTCCAGATTCCGTCCGGGTGGGACGTCTAAAGCGGGTTTTGAAAACTGTTTTACGACGCACGCGGATCCATAAAAATCCCCACAAGGTCCGGAATCGATTAAAATCACCATCAACTTAAAAACGTCAGAAAAAATTATCGCAAAACCGAAATTCGAGCGGAATATAGCCATCCACTTGTGCAGTGGCGTAAACGTTTATAATCACGGTAGGAGAATCTGGGATGTCTAAACCCTCCTTGGTCCTTTTTTTTTATTTTTTTTTGAGAGTTCTATAATTTGATTTTTCGATTTATGGGATTTTCAATATGATAGGTCGCCATTTGAAAATTAAAAACAAGTGATCACTCCGTCCCTAAAAATAAGAACGATTTAAAGAAAACGCTAATACGTAGTGCGTATATCTTCGTGGGACGCCCTATGTAATTGAAAAATACTTTATTTACTAAAAACCAAAAAAAAAAAAAATGTTTTATACATGAATCTTTCTGACGATTAAATATTTACCCCAACCCCCCTCAACCATTCCCTAGTCTTGATTACCTTACTGAACTTGTCGAGAAAAAGGAAATTTTGATTTTCGATTCCTCTCTACGTTTTCGATAGAAAAAAATATCAATCGCAGATAACAAACCTGTATAATACGTTTTCGTGTCCCGTTGTGTAATGTACGTTGAATACAAAACTCGACACGCTCGATTATTAAATAGATAATAGCGGTTTTCAAACGAGAATTATTATTGGAAGGTAACAAGAGGAGGTTTTGTTTAGCCGTAGCAGCCGCCGCTGTGCTCGGAATTAATTTTTTTTTTTTTTTTGTCAATTTCTTGTATATTATTATTTAATTTAAACCGACACGGGGCGCATCCCAAAAAAAAAACATCGTCATAAAAGATTTCCAAGGTTCGCCGCCGCCGCGACAATTAAAATGCAGCTTTAATTAGACAGTTTTGGGTACTAAAAACACTTAATTCCTAGTTAAAATATTTAAATTTAATTCCCTATATCGTAAAAATTACGACCACGGGCACGTTTTAAACAAATCGCATTTCTAAAGAATTTAAAGATAATGATAACGAATGTAACGAATTATACATCTATATAGAGAGATTTTTTTTGTCATGAACCAGCAATTATCTCGGAGGATTTTAAGTGAATTTGATTTCTGTTTTTTTTTTTTTTTTAAATCATTATGGAAACGTTTAAATTTTACTTTAAAACTGTTTTTAATTTCTTTTAAAGCTCCTACTCCATATACCTTAAACAAGTACATACTTTTGTCTTTCAAATAGAAACCTCCATTTTTGAACACAGATTTGAATAGAAAATATTTGTTTAGACATTTTTGTATGCATAACATAAATATCAGGTTTACCGTTTATGTGTTATATCCGTTTATAGTTTTTATCGGAGGAATAGGTAAGAGTTATCAATTTATAATTCAAAAATAGTTTATATGCAATTGATAACTCTCACCTATTCCTCCAATCCAAACTTCAAACTATTACCACTCATAAACTGTAAATCTCATGTTAATATTATGCAATCGAAATTTCTAAAAAAAAAAAAAATATTTTCTAGTAAAATCTGTGTTTAAAATTTAGTTTAACCGAATCCACAAAAAAAAAAAAAAAAAAAAAATCATAAATAAAATTCACATAAAATCCTTGAGGAAAATTTGCTAATTCATGATAAAAAAAAATCACCCTGTAGATTATAGTGTACAGAGCTACTTGGACAATAATAAATCAGACAATTACATAATATTGCGATAAGCAAAAAGAAGTATCCAGGAAGGAAATAAGACATTCGTCTTGTTTTTTTCATGAGAATCTTCAATGTATCACAAATAATGCCATAAATAATATGAACTATCTGTAGATATAATATTGAATATATATGGATGATTTCAATACGTTATTCTATCTCTGTTCTATAGTACTCATTAGTGGGGTAGCTAGAAATTTATTCAGAGTTGTAATTTTTTTTATTATTTTGTTCTGGTAATAATTTCTAATATCACGTTACTTCGCCTCCGCCAGTAATAGAGGCGGGTATACGGTTATCACAAAAAACCTGAGTTCCTGATACGATTCCGGACAATAAGACAATACAAAAATGTAAAATAACTGTTGTATTATTAATTTATGCCAATCATCCAATTTTTTTTTTTAGAGAAGAGAGGAAGCGATTAATTAAGATCCGATCTTACTATAATGAAAATCAACGGTACAAAAAATAACGTTCGTCACGCACGTTAGTAAAACGTTTTTTTTTTATGCAAATCGTATATGGTTTACTATTAATTTACACGAGGTAGTTCAAGAGCTGTGGATAATTGCCGAATAAAAACAATATTTTTTTCTAAATCGTTTATATTTAAACAATAAGAATACAATAATAATAATAATAATAATATGAACAACCCTGCCCCCTTATTTATGTTTACGGCACTTTCTGAACTTTTGACGTGATCACGGAAGACCTAATGGACTTATTGACGTGATGAGATAGTGTCATTTGATACGGCCGGAAATCTCGCTGGGCGTCGAAAAAATCGACCGAAAGAACAAAAATGGACGGAAAGTATAGAAATTGAAAAAACAATAACTATACGTGAGATATTATTTTGTATTATTATTTATCTAGCCATCTGGGTACGATAAAATAATAAAATACAAACTGAATTTTAACAAAATATAAATATTGTGGAATAAATTGTTTTTATATTTTATTTTAAAAAAGAGATGATGGGTGTATTACTGTTATTGGTAGGAAATTAGGAACGTAGGATACACATAGTTTTTTTAAAATTATATCTGTACACAATGATCAATAATCGTTTGCGAAGTACGATTCTGAGCTAAGTTTGGTTAAAACAATAATCCGTCTATTTATGGAATTCGTAATAGAGGTTCCCATTTGAAAAACTAAAGTTGGTATCGCCACAGGATATCTTAAATGCGGTAAAAATCGAAATATTCGAAAATATCGGCTTTGACTACACTTAAATTCCAAACATCAGAATTTGAAAATATGCAAAATTTAGTCAAAAAAAAATCAGGTGAACAGGCATAGTAAATCACTTTCTATAAGCATATGGTGAAACCAATATATTCCTCGCTGCGCTCAGAATAAATGTTTTGAAAAGTTATAACAACTATTATAGTGTTTTCTAAACTTTCTAATATATTTGCATATTTATAAAACGTTAGTGCTTTAACTTTGCACTTGAGAAGTGGTTTAATAATATATAAATTCCGAAATAAGTTAATGATATATATATTTATATCTATATATATTCTAAATTTAAGTTTTAGGAACGTTATTACAACAACATAAAATTCTTCCCTCAAAGTATATTTTATGTGTATATATATATATATATATATATATATATATATACATAAATATGACGGAAAACGCGAGTCTAAGATTGAAACTTTCACTCCGGGGTAAATATTTGTCTTTAAATATAAATGAAGAATCTTGATAATTAATATGATCGGTTTTGTATTTAGATCATACACATCGTACGAGTGTACGGATAATTTTGTGTATTATGAATATGTTTATTTTGTTTATATTATGTTTTTGTATACATACATACTATATGTATGATACACGTCGCTGTCCCGGCCCCCACGTTGCCCGTCCCGAAAAAATTTAATTCAACGATGAACCAGTTTCTATGGTAACTACTGTTCGTTATGCGTATCCTCCCGTAACTATTTCGGACTTTCAGCGATCACATTATTATTTATTTGTTGTTTTAACATTTATTTTTTCATTTGAATTTTTTCACCAATACAACCCATAAAACGAAAAAAATTATTCGATTTTCGTACCCGAAAATATCAATCACTCTGTATAACCCCTCCCCTTTAGAGCTTGAATACTCGAGGGAGGTAGTAGCATAAATATATATAATTTCTGATATAAAACTACATTTATACAAAGTTTCAGTTCAGTTCGTTCAACAGTTTGAATGATAAGTGATAACAAAACTACCTCTTAACAAACTTTTGCATTAA